GCATGTGTGTATTTTTATATAAATGCATAACTGCACTTTTGTATTTCATAAGCTAGGGTGCAGGATCATGTATATAGTATGTATAGTCAATTTCATTTGGTTAAAGGGATTCTATAGTGCCAGGAAAACCAAGCTGTTTTCCTGGCACTATAGGTTGCTAGAATGCCCCCCTCTCTTGCGCCCCCTCCTCCTGCGGCATTGAAGGGGCTAAAACCCCTTGAGTCACTTACCTGAATCCAGCACGAATGTCCCTCGGTGCTCGCATTAGGGTTTCCATATAGGAGGGCATTAATCAATGCTTTCCTTTGAGGTTTTCGGTGACGATGGAAGTCCTCATGCATAGCGTGAGGATGTCTAGTGTCATTCAGACAACCAAAAGTCTTCTAAGCACCTGGAAGTCCCTCTAGTGGTAGACAGCCACTAAAGGTGAAGTTAATCGTAAGAGGTAACCCTGAGAGTTTTCTCTGAAACTCCAATAATTATCACTGTAGGTTAAAGGGACATGGGACAATGCATCCAGACCACTTCAATAAGCCGAAGTAATCCGGGTAGCTATAGTGTCACTTTAATGATTCTGAGTTTCATCTGTGGCGCCCAAAAAAAGACTGACCAAAAAAAAAGAAACAATAAATTTAATAAATATATAGAATATAAACATATTTTTTGCTGCTCCCTCTATTGGTTACGTCTTCTCACTTCATCTGTGAACCATTTGGATGAAAATAAGCCTATCAGTGTACTGCAAAATATATACATAAGATTTATATTAATAAAATATTTAAAATATTTATATTATGTATATATTTTGCAGTACACTAATAGGAACATTTTCCCACATTTTAATTAGTCAAAATCGTGTTTCCTAAACTATCAAAAAAAATGCAAAATTCATCCAAATGGAAATGTCACATAGACAAAATTTGAATCGCACAAGATAAAAAAAAAAAAAGTCTAGTAGGTAGTTAGTACATTATAGAAGCACACATGCAGTCTGTCACTGCATAAATACAAAGTGTCTACACATATATTCTTTGTTACAGCTTCTATGATAATACATGGTTCCCGTTAGAAGTCTATTTTACATGCTCTCAGTCCTTGTAACTTCCTATATATGCTCCCAGTGGTATTAACCTCTCTTTACATCAGGGGTGCCCAAAAGGTTTATCCCCAGATGATAGAACTACAACTTACATGATGTTTTGTTATTCTAAAGTATTCAAAAGGCATGCAAAGGTTTGTGGGAGTTGTAGTTTTACAACATCTGGGGATCTACCCTTTTGGCACCCCAGCTTTCTGTTCCCAGTACGTATAACCTCCATTTACATGTTCTAGATCCCTGTAATGATCCTTTATTTTTTACTAGCCCATTAACCTCCTTTTGCATGTTTACAGCCACTGAACACACCTTCATATTATCTCAGCCCATTTAACCCACCTGTTCTATGCAGACCCCTTTTGCGTTTTGCTAGTCCTTATAACACCTGTGTACATGGTATTTACATGTTGTATCCTGCCCTTTACATGTCCTAGTTATTAAAAGCCATATTTTCATGATCCCAATCCCTTTAATACATTTACATGCTCCCAATCCTGATCGTAATATTTGCATGTTCCCGGTCCCTTTGACCCCATACAAATATTTATTAAGGTTTAATTGAGAAAGAAACAGTTGCCACATTGTGGCAGCAAGGAATAGGCCAGCATCAAAAGCACATTGCGGGACCACAAAAAGATAGAGGGTGGACCATTTCTTATGGAGGTCGGTGGTGGATCTCTTTACACCTTAACCATGGGAGATCTAATTGGTTTTGTTGATAAAGCTATGGCTGCCTGGTACACTAATGAAAAAAATACATCTCACTGAAGGCTCATTTTAGGGGCCAAAACAGTCGCCCCTTCAGAGAAAAGCACCTGCAGGCAAGTGCCTGCTTCGTCAGTTGGCAAATCCATCCATAATTATTTCCCCAGAATAATTACTGTATTCTATGAGTGTTACATGTCAAACATTCATAATATTCAAGAAGAGGCAGAGTTCAAAAGATTACTCAACCTGTGCGTAGGTGCTAAATAAAACAAGGAAGTTTTTATATGACTTCGAGAGCCAAAGGTAGTTATATATTTTTGTATTGTAAGTAAGAAACGTTGCACATGTCTAGTAAGTAATTAGTATTGGAGGTGTGGATATATGAATGACAGGATGGAAACTAAAGAACTCAAGGCAGAAATTGAATGACAGGGGAAGGCAGTGAGAGCAGCATAGGTAGGGATGTGGGGAGACCACAAGTATTTTAAAAATAAACAAATGCTTTCTGTATAAGGGAATGATCCACCAAGTGATCTTTGAGGTCATACGATGGTTTGGTTAAACACGAGCTGAGAATCCTTTGATAGTTGCAAATAACAAACAGCTTCTATGTTCATCCTAAAGCTCAGAAAGCATTGAATTTAGTCAAATTACTCCTAAATCATGTGTCTTATACTGTATATATATATATATATATATATATATATATAAGTAAACAAAATAACGATAAATAATGCAGTAAAAAATAATTTTACCTTAAAACAAATTGGTCTACCAAGCTACAACAGCTGTGAAATAAAGTGAGAATGTAGAACAGAACAAATGTTACCAAAGAACCTTTTGCAATAATTTGACATAATCAATGTATATTTGCTAACAAATACGTATTTTTACATTTTGATGATTTATTTATCAGAATTAAATATGTCATATAATTCTGTACTAGACCTGTGCACACATTATTTTCAGCTGGTGTGAACTAATCAAATTCCTTTTAATCTGTGCCCGAATAAATTGATTCATTCAATGAATAAGACTCCACCGATAAAACCTGAATGGATCGGTTTGTTCGGGCATAGATTATAAGGAATTTGATTAGTTCACACCAGCTGAAAAGAATTTGTGCACAGGTCTATTCTGTACTGCCAGGATTGATTGTGTAATAAAGTATTTTTGGAACTATTATTTTTGTAAGAGTAGCTATCAGCAGAAATCAAAGAAAAGTAATAGACATAGTACATAAATACACTATATATATATATATATATATATATATATATATATATATATATATATATATATACAATAAGTGATAGTCAAAAGATGGAAAAATCCTAATCGGGGGATACCCAGCAAGTCCATATAAATCATTAAATTATTGCTGCACTACTTTAGAGCAGTGTAACCCAACCCAGTCCTCATGGACCACAAACAGTCCAGGTTTTGTCAGTCCACATGGACCACAAACAGTCCAGGTTTTGTCAGTCCTCATAGACCATCAACAGTCCAGGTTTTGTCAGTCCTCATGGACCACAAACAGTCCAGGTTTTGTCAGTCCTCATAGACCACCAACAGTCCAGGTTTTGTCAGTATCTCCATTGGAATGAAACAGGGAAATACATAAATCCTGGACTGTTCTAGAGTATATAGTTAATTAGTTACAATTGTGTGTCACAAAAATAACCACTAGGTGGGACCCTTCTGACAAGGATGGTCAAATTGTAGATTTTTAGTTGGAAAACTACAATGCCCTACACTTTTTGTCATTCTTATGACTCGGGAGTAGTACTTTCATCTTTTGGTCACTCTTAAATCTAGCTGCATGTTTTAAACAATAATACATGGAGGCCAAACTTTTTCCTACCAACAGTTGGTCTACAGTTCCTCCATAAAAAGTTGATAGTCAATAGTCATTTGCTGTCAGAGCATTGTCTAATGTGCAGGCCAATGACAGGAGGTGGACCAACCTATGCTTAAATTAGATAAGGGTGACTGAGTGCACCCTGTGTCTAAACTACCTCAACAATAGGGAAGTACTGAAACAAGGAACAGGGAAAAGAAGAAGACATCTGATGACTTGTTGATGAAATTCATTTGATCATGCAATATATCACTATAGCTTAATGTCTATTGTCTGTCCCTGTAGGCTTTTCAATGTACACACTGACTTTTCAGAGAAAATGCAGTGTTTACATTGCTGCCTAGTAACACCTCCGGGTGCAGTCACTCAGACGGCCACTAGAGGTGCTTCCAAGTCACCTACATTCAGCCTTTCCACAATGCATGGAGATGCTGACTGCTCCCCATAGAGATGCATTGATTTAATGCATATCTATGAGGAGATGCTGATTGGCACAGAGTGGCATTTTGCAAGTTAAAAACCTTTTCGCAGCAATCAGTCAGGGGCCGGTAACCTAAACAGCCACTCTAGGAATACATATTATGATTAAGTAATATCAGGATTTGCTTAAAGGACCACTCTAGGCAGCTTCAGCTTAATGAAGTGGTCTGGGTGCCAGGTCCAGCTAGGGTTAACCCATTCTTTTATAAACATAGAAGTTTCAGAGAAACTGCTATGTTTATGAATGGGTTAAGCCTTCCCCCAATTCCTCTAGTGGCTGTCTCATTGACAGCCGCTAGAGGCGCTTGCGTGCTTCTCACTGTGAAAATCACAGTGAGAGCACACAAGCGTCCATAGGAAAGCATTGATAATGCTTTCCTATGTGACCGGCTGAATGCGTGCGCAGCTCTTGCCGTGCGTGCGCATTCAGCCACATGGGAGGAGAAGAGGAGGATCAGAGGAGGAGAGCTCCCCGCCCAGTGCTGGAAAAAGGTAAGTTTTTACCCTTTCCCCCTTCCAGAGCCGGGCAGGAGGGGGATCCCCTCAGGGCACTATAGTGCCAGGAAAACGAGTATGTTTTCCTGGCACTATAGTGGTCCTTTAAGCTGATCCCATAAAAAAAATCAGGGCTCACTGCCCTTTAATAGATTTTGTGATGTAAATCAATGTCAGACTAAAAGATACTGAAACAAATTATACATTTAAAAAAAATTTATTACAACAAATTTAAATAGAAATACACACATTCAATAATAAACTTTTTTTTACAAGCAATAGTGTTAATACATATGCATCAGCAGTAAGAATTTAAAGCTGTGTCTTTAAATATTCTGTTCTTTGAAAAAATATATATTTGTGCAATAATACTATTTATTAAATGAAGGGTGTTTAAGAATAAATATACTATACTTTATGCTGTTTTACATATTCCCATTTAAGCATCACATCATGCTTAAAGAGTTGACTGTACATTCATTTTACAGGGTGTATGCCAATTTGTACTTTCCACTGAAAATCATCTCTCACAGACACGTGATTTATTTTGGAAAGCAGAAATTGAATAATTATTTTTATTGATCAACACACACGTCAAATTATAAAGACAATATTTTAGACATTCTTTAATCCATAACACTTTAACGTGGATTTATTGTTTTATCAATATAAGATCACCTGTCGTTGTTCTATTGAATATTGCACGGCATTACAAAATAACTGCATCAAACCTTCTGTTGTTAAAATAGAACTGCATTCAATGTTTCTTTAATATAATAAAATATATCAACCAATAGTATAATTCCCTTTCTTTTTACTTGATTGACACTAATTTATAAGTCATTGATAACATCACTCTGAAATGTCACCTCATCCAAGGGACATATTTCAAGAAGCACTCCAAACACTTTAATCACTACCGCACTTTGTAGTGGTTATGGTGCCAGGAATGTTCTGCACCCTTCTCCACTGTAAGTACTCCACCTTTGTTTAATATGGTTTTAATTCTTAACTGGGGTCTGATGGGCCCACTCCCAACATACAGCTACAGCTTAGGTGATACTGGAAGCTCTCCTGAGGTAAGCGCTGCAAGGCCGGGCCAGCTCATTGGCTCATTGCTCGCTTCCAATTAGCTAATCCCTGCACTTCTGAATTTAGCTCCGACAAAGAGCTTCTCTCTCTCTTATAGCTGTGGTGGAGGTGGGGAGCGGATCCCCTTCAGTCCTTGCCATGAGGAGGCGCCAGAACACCCCTGGCAACATAACCACTACAGTGCACTACAGAGGTTATGGTGATTGCTGTATTCCGTGATCCTGTGATCTCCAACAAATATAGTTCCATAAAAACACACTGCACACATGTAGCAAGCAAACCGGTCAACTTTATATTATCAAAAACAAGTAAATCACTTTTATTCTGTTAACGTTTCTAAATTTGTGCTAAGGTCTACAGTTTTTATAGTGTGCAAAGAAAAGGAGTAGTCAGTATAAGGTTGAGTAATGCATATTAAATATACCATTAGACATATTCCTCCGCAAAAGGTCAATGGAAAAATATGGTGCCTTATTACACATTAATGTATTCACATGATTTGCATTGCAACGACACACACTTTTTAAAGCAACTAATTAGAAAATTCCTGGCTTGCATCCCAGAATTTAAAAAATAAAAATGATAAGCTCACCTAATTGTATACTGTCCATTTCATGTGACCTTTTATTCCGGGGCAATTCAAATATTTTGACCTGTACATAACATTCTATAATAAACTACACTGGATTGCTTCTAATCAAAATTCCTACTTTTTACATACATTATATAGTTATTATTAACAATGATGACGAGGAATAACTCAGCACTGCTTTTAGATAAATTTACTTTGCAACAGGTGATTTGCATATGGAATTTCAAGCAAAATAACGAGTGGAAAGTTTAGTATTTCAGAAATCCTTATTATTCTGCACACATTGTACTGCTATGAAATGTTTAGATCGCACAGATTATGCTACGTTTAAAGTAGTTTCTTACAAAGCTCTCTGAAAGTGTTATGGGGCATTCACAAACATTTAAATATATAATAAATACTGACATCAACTCAGCAATAAAAAATTCCATTCTCTGTGCAAAAAAAATGTGTAATAATAAGATCATCAAGTTATTTAACCAGGACTGATTCTTTTTGCTTTTTCTAATTTTTAGGTATCTCCTGAAGGTTATTCTCTATAGCGAGAATTCGGAGCAAATTCCAAATTTAAGGTGAAAACAGTAAAACTGGAATCTGAGTTCAGGTACTTTGGCCTTAAATTTGAAATTAACTTAGAATTCTCACTTAAATGGATAAGCCTGACAGTGTTTTACAGCAATGACTTTAGAATGGTTCTGTGGATTTAACCATTAACGCAGTGCAACTATAGGCGGCATTCTTCAACACACCCAAAATGTTCAAATTCACTATTCGTTTATGAGATTTGACATTCATAAGGTGAATTACTTATTCTTATAATACTTGATAGTCTCCTTTATATTTAATTTATTTCAAATAATTAATACAAAAATATATATTAGCCACTAACTTAAAAAAAACAAAATTGTTTTAAAACCTGAAAAATATATATTAAATATATATTTTTACTTGTAAATTTTTAACAACTCAGACGCTGCTGCCAAAGTGTTTTGTTTTTCTATAAAATAAATACCGATACTTATATACTTTAACTAACAAAAAAAATAAAAAATAGAACACTGGTGATCTTGATGTTACATTCAAACGTGGCTTTTTAGTGCTCAGTGCATTTGTCCATGTTTTTTATTTTCTTCTTGTTGTGGAACTTCTTCAACTGCTAAGAAGGTATTCTCAAAAACTCATCAGATGTACTGACTCCTAGAATAGTGACATTGGCTCAGGGTTTTTTCTTGTGTTTGACAAGGTATATACACTGGTCTGGGTAAGGAGGTTTGTGATGAATATTCAATGCTCTTGCACTTCTCTTTATGTGGACATTGCCAGCAGAATATTGCTCCTGCAATCAACAGGAAGATCAGGGTGGGCCAGCCAAGGAAAAGCGCCTCTCCGATTTCTTGACGCTGAATTGTTTTGCACATTGGGTTGTTGATTTCTCTGATGATGTTGCTGGTCACCCAGCTAATAGGAATGAGAACAAGAAGTCCAGCAAGAAGAAATGCGATCCCTGCAGTAATAAGCAAGCAGTGCCGACCACCTTCTGCTCTTTTGCACCATCGAAGACACAGTAGCGTAAATAAGGCAATGATAAGTCCAATGATGGACAGTACGACAGCAAATGCCATAAGAACTCTTCCAGCCTTTAAGTCAGATGTGATAGATACCAAGGAGTTATAGTTGGTGCATTGCATACTATTGTCATTTTTGGTCACACAGGTAAGCCATAACCCATCCCAACGACTCAGCCATTGACCATCAATACGTTTATCGCAGTTCAGTGCATTACCTTCAACCATGTACGACACTCTCCACTGCGACATGGATGTAACAATGATCGTAAGTATTGTGCCGACTACTCCCAGGATAAGTCCGAGGATTTCCACAATGAAATATGCCATGCTTTTTCAGATGTTGAGAATCTTGCACAGATTTCTTTGAGGCTTTTTTCCTCCAGCTGTTAACTGGATTCCCAATAGCAGCTTTATGTTTATTCAGTAGTGAACCAGATCTACAGGTTGATGAGCTGTTTCTCTTGAGTTCTTGTCCAGTTGACTTTCCAACCTGAAATGGTTTAGAACTGTCTTTGAGAGATGGTTTTATTAATCAGATCACGTGTAACAACAGCTCTGCGTCACTACATGCTAATTATGGGTGTAACTCAACTAGGAAATCCAAATTATAATACATGTCAGAGTAAGAGTCTGTATGCTTTATCTTCTGAGACTGTTTCGAAACCTAAAAATAAAAAGCGAAGAGACGTGTCTTCTCCATGTGTCATTATTTCAAGTATTTGGAAGAGTCCCAGTAAAAATGTTACTTAAATACAAAAGTAAGGGCAAGCTACTTTCAATAAACTTGACTGTTTACATTTAAGAAAAACCTCCAAAACCCCATTGTAGTAGAAGACCTTAAAATAATGTAGAACCATTCATGTCTATGACTAGAAGCAAAAAGTTTTTTTTACATTTCTGATTTAATGAATGAGTTTTACTTGACAGGAACCACTGTAGATGTTTTATACTTTACTTGATGTGCCGTTTGTCTTCTGTACACTTCCCAGTGTAATATTCCAAGAATAAATACTTGTCCAAGCATGTCACACAGTTTTCATTCTTTATACTATTATTTTTACAATATGTTAAATGCAAATTCGGCATGGCAATTCCATGAATGTTTGCTATTTAATTCCTTTAATTTCTTTACTTGTTTTTCATATTCTTTAAAATATTCAACCAACCTGCAATTTTTACCAGGAGTTTTCTAAATTTTACAAATTAGCATTTTATTGAAATATTTTAAAGTAAACCTATACTGTACATTTACACTTCACCTATATTGTCCTCAAATACGTTGAATATATCATGTATCACAGAGATATAATGAGGTATTCAATATAAAATACTGAGATTTACTCAGTAAATAGTTCCAACGCCATCATGTTCTAGTCTTCGTGGGTGTTACTTTCCATGTAACACCCACGTCCAGTGCGCCCTCAGCTTCTACTACAGCTTTCTTTGACTTGGCCTGCTTTGGGACACTTCCCCAAGCAGGACAACTCTCCTCAGTAACGCCGACACGCTCGCCGACATTCGAATGGAGAGATGTAAATTACTCCATTCCTATACTCCCTAGCCAGAGTTAGCAGTGCTGGCTAGGGAGTAACCAAAGTGCTGTGGTTGTTATGGGTGGAGAGCAGTAGGACTACCTGTGGGTGGTCTCTTCAGCTCTCATTTATCAATTTATTCTTCAGCAATTGATAGACAAATAGAAAAAAATGTTTTGTGCTGCCCAACCTCAGGCATCGATGATAGCCTTTAAGCACAGAGCTAACTCATCCCCAGCACCCACAGTCTATCATCCAAAGAAAGAATAAGATGTATCAGGGCCCTACACAGGCGACCAGTGTGGGATACCCCTACATTATTCACCTGGGGATGTTTAATGGGGCCAAGTAAATTCATGGTCTAATCTCTGGGCCATAGGCAACTGTCTAGAGTCACTTTATAGTTAATCCTGCGCTGCCCAAGCTGGGACTGTTTGAGCTGCTGTAGAGGGGATCGGGCTTCCAAAAAATATCTTTCCAAAATTGTTGGGTAGAAAACATGACATATAGAAGTTTTGATATGTATTTCTGGTTTAATTAATATTTGTAATGTCTACATGCTAAACGTAACAAAAAAAGAATGTTTTGATTTTGAATATTTTTATATATTTTATTAATGAAAGATGTTGACCTAATGTTATGTATAATTAACTATAAAATGTTAAACATTTGTTTGCCTTGACTGTGTGCAATTAAACCTCTAAGTGCTTATTAAATAATGTTGACTACCTTGCTGGGCCAGGTTAAACTAACTTTAAATATTAAACGGAAAATGATGTTTCACTATTTAATGGGGTTGGAAATGGAGTTAAGAAACAAAATCAAGTTTTCCCTAAACATTGAAACTATTTGGTTAATCTTGGATCTGTTTCCAAAATAAATTTTAGTCCACACCAAATGTTATTTTAAAAGTTGGATCATGTCTATCAAGCTGGAGTCTCCTAGGTCTAGTCAGGGTGACATGTAGTTTTATAGAGTTAAAAAGAGGATTAATTATATTGTATCATTGACTCAGCAGTGTTTAGTATACAGCATATCTGACTTTAAAGTGTCAGGAATGGAGTGGGGTCCAACACGCAGAAAGTAGATAAAGGGTAACGCATACCCGACCTTAGAATGGCCGGACTAATGTATAAGAACAAGGGGTAGTCAAATTCAAGCCGAGGCCAAGGAGTACAGAAATCAGGATATGCGAGTAAGCCAAAGCCGGGTCAAAGGAGTATAGAATGAAGAGTAGTCACAAATAGAGCCAAGATTAAAAGCTGGAATATAAAATACGGTACAAGCACTATTGGGAACAAAAATTAACCACAACAGGGCAAAGAACCTAGCCCTTTGAGTGCTTTTTATACTGTGGCTTGATAGGATGGTAGCCATGCCCCTAAAACGTCATAATCCGAACGTTTAGGTGGAACGTTACATCATTAGCATCATGGTGTCGATGCCCCCTTTTTGCGTCATAAAAAGGGGTGGGGCTATTGCGGCCGGCGTGAAAACAGCTGGAGAAGGAAGAAGGAAGCTGATGAGGACTTACAACATCATTTGAAAGGTGAGTGCCATGAGGGACAACCCTGGTCACCACAGAAGGGACCCTGACAACAAGCCAATGGTCCACTCTAAATTAAATATGGTATAGGATATGCAATATAGCCAGTCCAGAGCATGACCTGGGAACATTAAACACATTGGATTGTAAGGTATGTGGGGTAAACACATTATATACTTATGTTTCCATATGTATTGCTCTTACTGTACCTTATTTTTTCTGTAATTTAACCTGTAAAATTATCTACTAGTGCAAAATAAATAAAATATATACCTGCTAGTGCTAAATAAATAAAATATACTTATAATGTATATCTACTGCCGTTACCACGTAACCTGTAAAGTGCTAAGTACACCTGTTCGTGCTTATATAGGTACTTTTTAAAAAAATTTTTACAAAGGTTATTTTTTTTTTCTTTCACTGAAGCTCTTAGGTGTTGGTAATCTTTAATAACCAATAGATGACAATAAATAATACAAGCTCTTTACAATTTCCAAATATTCTTATGAAACGCTGGATGAACTCGGGTCTGGTACCAGACTATTTTGCATCCTAGGCAAGACCAGTTACTTGCAAACCCCCTCCCCCAAAAAAGCAAAAATTGGCAATTTTCTGTGTCTCTTTTTTCTCCTACCCCCTTTGTGTGGCTCATTCTCCCCTAACTCTTTTGTGCTTCTCTTTTTATGCTTCCTCTGTCCCTCTGTATCTTTTCCCCAAGCACCTTTGTGGGTTTCTTTCTCTTCTCAGACCCCTTTTGTGTCTCTCTTCTCCTCCAGCCCTTCTGTTTGTCTCTTTGTCCCCCCAGACCCTCTGTGTATCTCTTTCCCCAAGCCCTTTTTTGTGTCTCTTTCTCTTCAGAGCACCTTTTTGTGTCTTTTTTCTCCCATAGCCCCACTGGGTGTCTCTTTGTTCCCAAGCACTTCTCTGTGTCTCTTTGTCCCCCCAGCCACTCTGTGTGTCTCTTTTTTCCCCAGACCCTCTCCGTTTTTTTTTGTCCCCCCAGCTCCTCTGTGTGTCTCTATGTCCCCACATAACCTCTGTGTGTCTTTTTTCCCCTTCCGCCATCCTCTTCTGTGTGTCTCTTTTTTGCAGGTCACTTTCTCCCCCCCAGCCCTGTGGTGTATCTATCTTTTCCTCCCCAGCCCCTTTGTGTGTTTCTTTGCCCCCCCCAGCTCTCTGTGTTTGTCTTTGCCTCCCAGCCCTTCTGTGTGCCTCTTTTTCCACCCTCAGCCCCCCTGTGTGCCTACTTCTACCCCTCCTACCTTTCTGTCTGTCTCTTTGTCCTCTTTAGCCTTCTTTGTGCTTATCCCCTCCTTAGTTCTCTATGAGTCTATTTCCCCCTCTCAACTCTCTGTGCGCCTCTTCAGCCCTCTATGTGCCTCTCCACCCACTCAGCCCTCTGCATTCCTCCTCTGACCCTTTAGTCCTATGTGTGCCTCTTTCCCCTCTCTCAGCCCTTGGTGAATCTCTCACAAAGTTTCATCTTGGATAGTCCTTGTTTTGATGTTCCACCATACTTTTGAAACATTGAAAACATTAAAAACCAATCAATTTTCTTGTTATAATGGAAATAAAGCATTTTTAAATGTGTTTTGAAAATTTGGAAACTAGAGACTAAAATTACTTTACTAGTTATGAATCTCAGCCAAAGCATATATTCACAATTACAATCTCAATATACATCTTATGGGCCTGCCATATAAATAGTTATTAGATGTGTTTTTTATTCAGGTAGGTGTGGTGACCTGTAGATTTGTGTCATGCTTGGAATGTGGTATGTATGGATAAATAAATTAATCATATCAGGACATGGCATTTAAAGTACCCAGCCCAAACACTTACTGTTATGCTCCTTTTATATTTTATTTCTGTGGTGTTGCAACACAAGTATTATTTAAATATGATTTGGTGAGTGTAACTGAGCTCCTGTACCCCGGTTGCTCATAGTGCTTACCGAGGGCTCCAAGCACTTCTCCAGACACCATAAGTACTGCAGACCCCACAAACCGCCACCACTTGGTTGGGGTCTCGCCGTCTCCTACCCACCCTGGACCTACGAAAAGGCTCCAGGTTCCAGTGGGTGAACCTCTTTTCCTCCAGAGAGCAAAGCAGGAACAGTTCTTACAAGAGCTAGTGATTATCCAAGGGAGTATAGTGATTATAGCAATCCCTTGTAGCAGTTTCCCCCAATAAGGGACAAGACTCTAGATTGAGGGTAAAATAAGAACTGAAGTTTATTGTGGCACATTGTCTTTTATGCAATTTTCCCCACAAGGTTACCACCCAGGTGGACCTTGTGGGGCACAGGGACACAGGAACAACAAGCCAATAAAAACATAGTTTTAAATTCAGTCACTCCCATACAGTGTACACAATCCCTCCCCTCTGGCTGTGATATAATTAAC